TATTTTATTATTATTATTTTTTTTTTTTTTTTTATTGTAGAAAATGAACACTTCACACAATTGCCAGCCCCAGTTGTTGAACAGCTAGTTTTGCCCGGTGCTAAATTTAGAGAAGGAAAAGTTTACATTTATCACATTTTACAGCAATTTTATTATGGCTAACTTGATTCCCTAACCACCATTCAACTCCAATTTGTAATCCAGTCTAAAGGTCACAAGTGTATGAAATGGTCTGGTGTGGGTCTGTAATATTGCTTGAGCTTCCGGGGAGTGCAGGTGCATTCTCTCAATGAAACAATGGTTGACATAGCTGGTCTTCAGACATAATGGTCATGGCATCAGGTGAGACTTATGAGAGGTCATATTGGATACTTGCGGGAAGATTAAAATGGGTAATCTAGAAGAGTCATCCTCTGTCAGTCATGCTTGAGGCCTTGGCTGTAAAGACAGAGGTTATTTGAGGTTATTATATGAGGCAGGTGGTTCAGTGCGGAGCTCTCCAATTGGAGCTCTTGATTCAAGTCAAGCTATTTTTTTGTTATGCAAGATTATTTTGGAGGCTGTTACAGTCAATTTAAATGTATAGCAAAAGGGAATTAAACAGAAAAATTAAAATAAGACATAATATCATAATGTCGTTTCAAACCTGTGACTTTCTTTCTTCTGGGAAACACAAAAGAAGATATTTTGAAAAATGTTTGAAGAAAGTCATACAGGTTTGAAATGGGTGAATAAACGATGATAGAATTTAAATTTTTGGGTGAATTATCCCTTTCAGTTGTACTGTACTAATGACAGTTGTCTTGAACATGCAAATGAATGTTTCTGATTGGCTGATGCACAACACCAAATGTTTGGGGTCAGTAAGATTTGTTATTTGCAAAAAAAAAAAAAAAGACCTAACCTTAAACCTTAAAACCCTTAGTTCCTCTTTTCTTTTGTTCAGTTTTCCCGCCACTCTTTAGTTGTCATTGTTACAGATATGATTAGTTATTTCAGTTCAGCTGTGTATCATTAATTATCCTTTCTGTATTAGTACTTAAGTTCCTGTGTTTTCAGTGTTCAGTGTCTGGTCTCATCTGTGTGAGTTGTGTTTTCTTTGATTCCTTCAGTTCATTTACCTTGTGATTATTATTATACTGTGTTCATACCTTATCTTTCTCATTGTGTATTCATGCATTCATTTATGCATTCATTCATTCATGCATTCATTCATTCAGACGGCATTCATTCAGAAGTGACAGTATAAGCCATTTATAAAAGATTTCGATTTCAAATAAATGCTATTGATTTGAACTTACAATTCATCAAAGAATCCATATTTAAAGGATCATGTGACACTGAAGCCTGGGGTAATGGCTCCTAAAAATTCAGCTTTGCCATCACAGGACTAAATTACATTTTAAAATGTATTAAACAGAAAACAGTTGTTTTACTGTTTTACTTAAATTTTTACTGTTTTTATTTTTGATCAAACAAATGGTGAGCATAATAGAGTTCTTTCAAAAACATAAAAACATGTTATCGACCCCAAACTTTTGAACCACAGTCAATGTGATTTGCGGGAAATTACAGGAATTCATGTTTCCTTGTTTTGTTTGGATTTTATTGTCCGTTTAAGTCACAGTCAAGTTTTAAATAAAGTGTTTCGTTCTTGTTGCTCGTTGTAACCTTGTTGCAAAATTCTTTGTGGCAGCATTTAAGAAGTGGGATAAAAAAATGTTTAAGCTCCTGTTTTAAGATAAGCTTTTGTTTCTCGCCCATGCCCTTAATACATCATCGCTGTGTTTTTCCCTGGACTGTCTCGAGCCGTCAGTTCTGAAACTCACCTGAGGTTAAATTAGTTACTAGCTCAGGTAATTGGGTACGGTACAGGCAAGTGGCACATACCCGAGCGGTCGTTGAAGTTGTCAGGCCTCTGCCACCCTCCCTTGCTGATTTGGGCAAGTTGGTGCGACGGTCAGTGTATTTGTCACTATGTCAGCACTCCTGGAGCCGTTCCTCCCAACCCTCTCAGGGCAACGCATTCATCTTTCTATTCATCTCTGGGTTGGAAGCCATTCATCATAGAACCAGAGGACTCCATCAATTATTCCAATGGGAAAGGAAGAAGGCAGAGAAGCTTTGAAAGGCAAATACATCTTGATTTAATTGGAATGCAGGTCGAAAGCACATTGGCACTAAGCAGATTTCCTGCTGGAAGAAAGAAAGGAGGGAAATCATCTTTGCCTCCTGATGCAAATGGTGACTCACATTCATGGCCACAGATGGAGATTCTTTGAGGGTGGGGATGTCCGGGTTAAACAACACTTGTCTTTGTGACATAGAATTCGCCTGGGGTTTCTTTCAAAGACATACGCACGCCAGCACGGTTTCATGGCAATCGGATTAAAAATACTAGAAGAAATTACTTCAAAACACACATTACATGATGCAAAAACACCACGGGTGGTGAGCAGAGGATGAATAGATGCCATTGATCATCAAACACAAAGGAGGCTGCAAAGAGAGTTGTGTGAAATGGCTGACACATGGATTTCTCACCGTTTCTTAAGAATTAGCTGTGCTTGGGGAATCTCACGAATGCAGGTCCAGATTTAATCGGATGGATCCAATCAAGTTAGGCCTTTGTGGATGCTCTGCAGTGGGAGTTCCTGTAATCCAAAAAAATGGCCTGGCATGAGTGATGAGCTGGAGATTTCCTGTTTCA